CCCCTTCCCTTTTCCCCAACTCACAGATACAGAAAAGTATGTGTTCCTTTAAAATGTACTCATGCTTATCAAACCATATCAAACGGAAATTTAGTTTGACGAAACTTTCTGCATCAGGCCTAATCTGTCAAAGTGGGTATTTAAGTCTGGCATTTGACGGAAAGGTTATTCACAATTGCAGCGTTTGGCCAGCCATTGTTGCGTTGACCGCAATTACTGGTCCATTATTCGCACATTAGGGCAAAATAGACGATCACAGCAGCATCTGGCAGGAGTGAGGGATTTTGGACCTCAAAGTTAGAGAGGTTGTATGGGTACATGTTTGTTGTTTTGCTTGTTTGTTTGTTTTTGTTTTGATTTTAAAGTATTTATTGTTTTCATGCCTCCATTGACACATTTTAGATCATTCAGGAGGCGGGCTGCCAACCCTGCTTGTCAGGGCCAATAAAGGGTTAAGCCGCCCGGGGCAGTGCCACTGAATGTGGTGTCTTTAGGCCATTCCCAAAGGGGGGGGGGGGCATTTCTCGTTTTAGCACAGTAGAATTGTAAATGGGCTGATTCATGTCATGCTCATAACTGTGCCTGATCTGCATCAGGGAACTGCTGCTTTTTCTTTCCTAATCCTTACTATTGTCCTTTTCCTCTACTTCTTTTGTATGTTTGTCACTCTCTTGTGACCTATTTCCGGGGTGCCTGTAGAAGCTAGAGAGGTGAGAAGAGTAAGTCTGATTCCCTGTAGAGACTTCTCTGTTGACACCCACCCCTTGGCGCTCATATGACCTTATGCAGTTGCGAGCGCCGTAACACCATCTACTATAACAACAATAAAAATAACAAAGGGTTAAGAGGGGTATAACATCTCAGCAGGAAGACTAACGTAGTCGATAGAAATCTCCCCTCCCCCTCCCCCTCCCCAATTAAAAATAAAACTCAGATCATCTGCTTTCGACAGCGGAAGCCCCTAACAGTAGTAACAGCAACACCACAGACGCCGTCTCTGAGTTTTAGGATGGACCTACTTACAACACAAACATTAATTGTGAGGCAGCGTGGTGGAATCAGGATCTCGTCAAAATAATCAAAGTGAAGAAACTTGCTTTTTTCTGTAGGTTTGTGAATTTTTATCAAATTTTTGTTTTTTGGGTCAACACCTTTCATGCCCATTAAAGAACTCATTTCTGTGTGGATTTTTCTGAAAAACGTTGATTAAAGGTACAAAAAATGTAAATTTTCAGTTACCACTGACTCTTAAGCTAAGGAAATAACTAATCTTTGGCGGCCATTTTCTCACTAATTTTACTTCTGAGGAA